TCGCTTCCAAAGCGGGATCCGCAGGGCGGAAGCCATATTCCACACGAGGGTCAATGACTGACCGTGGATAGGCGCGCTTTAAAGTCGCCCTACGGGCAGCTTCAAGCTGCAGCCTCTGTTTCCCGTCGAGGTCATTGGTGATCACACCACGTGCCTCAGTCGACGAGAAGTCAGGGAACGAAGATGGGGTCCGCAAGACACCAGCAGGACTCGTATCGTGCCGCTGGCGCAGCTCGTCTTCCTCGTCATCCCATGCGGGTAAAGAGGTGTCAGACTCATAGTCGACCACATCCTCAACGAGACCACTCGACACTGAAAGCGTGAGCGGAGTGCGACGTTTGCGCTCATCGAGCCTAGGGTTTACATCCCCCGCGGACGCACTGTCCGACGTTGCACCGAGTGCGGGAGATGAAGTTGGGCTCTGCCCATGCTCGCCGTCAGAACCGGCAAGACTTGGAGATTTTGGTGTCATTGACACAGGGCTTAGTGAGCAAGGAAGTTTGTTTGTCCCAAACAAATGGAGTTGCAGTGTCTAAGAGACACGCAAGCCTCGTTGAGGCAATAATTGATTGGAACTGTAAATGTTCTCGATCTTTATGGGGGAGGGTGTAACGGGGTTACACGGACCCTAATTACAGGAATGTGTGCATGTCACACGAGATGTGCATAATGTGACCACACACCCAAAAAAAAATACGGAACGGGGCTAGGTAGCCAGTAGGTATGGATGTATTTAGATTTTACTATATATATTTAGTATATTTAGAAAAATCTAGACTTTTACAATTAGGATAAAAATATAAATTAAAATCGGTTTTGGTTTTGAACAAAAGTGATCGTTTGCCTTGGTTAAGGCTTTTAAGTACTTTTAGAGGCAACGAATTGCTATCCGCTGCACTTGTACTTGGTTCTTGTAAAGAACAAAAGGTCGGTGGCCTAAAGACGCTTCCTCAAGCACAAAGCTACGGCAGCCCCGCTGCAACCCAACATTCCCAAATATACAAAACATTGAAGCTGTCAATTCATTGTGTTATAGAAGTGTAATGCCCAATTCTCCAGCTTTCCTCCATCTTCGTAAATCAGAGCCAAATACTTCTAAATATACACCTCCGAGCTATATCTATTGCAAGTAACATTATTCTGATCATAAAATTACTTATATAAACCGATCCATTTGAAAAACGAATTATGCCACTTCCACTGACACCCCCTGCCTCCGATCATAGAAGAGATCAACGCGAACACCGACACCGCTGATACAAGTCGAGGCAAGTCTGCATTAGCCCAAGATAGAGCCGTGGCCTCAATGTTCCTGAACTTTTGTTCTGAATCCGATGGCTTTAAAGCGATTAGTGATCTGAGCGATTTGTCTGACCAAGACGACAAGACGCCGAAGACAATATTCGGAACGTTTACAACACATATCCTGCTGAGATTCAAGAAATCTGGTTCTCCTTCGCTGCAAACGGCAATGAACTACCTTAGCTGTTTAAAGGGTATTTTTATCAGAATATGCGAGACCGACATATTTAATGACCTGCATTGGTACCAGGTAAAAGTGCGTCGAAACACGACTTCAAAATACGTGGCATATGCCCAGAAAGAAGGCATTACGCTACAAAACACAGCGGACGATATCACTGACGAGATATTGCGACTGCTCTGTGAGCAAATGGTGGATTCCAATTCCTGGATCGGTATAGAAAACCGAGCTCTGCTAATTGTTCTTTGGCATTTACTTGGCTGAATCAATGAGGTGGCACAGCTGAGATCGGTGAGGCTGAAATTTGATCCGCTGTGTGGCGCGGTGATGGTGAAACTGCTGTGCACCAAAACCGGCCGCGAAAGCCTTAAAGCATTA